CTGCAGAGAACTCTAGGACTTAATACAGAGTGATCCAACCATGGCAGGGAATTGATGGTGATATCTCCCAATTTCAGATCATGCTGCCACTGCCCTGAGATAAAAACCAGGTCCAAAGTATGATCACTACTGTGAATTGGCCCCATACCCACCTGGATCAGGTCCATGGTGGCCATGAACTCCTGAGCCACTTCCAAACTTATGCTCAGAGAGAGCAAATTAGTCTCCCAGCACCATTAGTTTGGGAGAATCCACTGCCAACCCAGACTTGGCCTCAAGTAGCTTTGGCAGGGAAACTGCTATGCAGCAGGGAGACTAGTAGCAGCGGTGCCATCTAAACCTAGCACCTAGTCTCAACAGAAGAATCTCACAATCAGCTATCTCAGCAGCAGTGCCTCTGAAAGCCGCCAGGTTCTCTCAAATAACTGTAGCCACTCCACAGCCTCTGCCCTGGGGTCATGGCTGGTGCCACACTCAAAACCAGGTAGGCACATCTGCAAGAGGGGAGTTCCTCTCTCTGTGCCCAGGCAATTCTCAGTTATACACTCCAGGTCAGCCTTCTCATCCAATATTAAATCGGGGATGAGGGGAGCTTTATTGCAGACTGATCTGGCAACAGCCAAAAATCCAGGACACTGACTACATCACCCTCAATGGGGAAATCTGATACCGGTGAGTGAGTTCCACTAGTACTGAGGGTCTCCTGATTCTTTTGCTTCTTTAGGTTGCATGCTTCTACATTTTTACCTCAGCCAAAGGGAGTTTTTCTTGTTCTGTGGTGTTCTCTTCACTCCTTGGCCCTTCCTGAGAGCTTCAGCTGTCCTGTCTGTGAATTTCTTACCTTTTCTGATGCATTGTAGAGTAGAAACTCTTTCCTCAAGCCCCTTCACTTTTGCTTCCAATAAGGACACAAACTTGCACTTTTAGCAGGTGTGACCTCGATCCTCTTCAGACAAGAAGACAAATTTTGCACAAACCTTGCAGATTATGACTGTGCTTCCCTCACTGTCCATGTTCCTTGGAGACTTCTCTGCTAACTTTCCTAGCCTTCCCTGTTTACTTGCTATGTCTGTGAGCTGCCTCTATGAGTGAGGGCTAGCCTGGCCTAGCCGGAGGAGGAGGAGGAGGAAAATGGAAATGGGGAAAAATGCCTCTCTCTTGACCTTCCTTGCCAAACTCATTTGTTCTCCCTGTTTGCTTACATAGTGAAACTGGGTTCCTTCCATGCCCCTTAAGTCAGTAATCCCTCCTACTTCTTGGTCCTTCTCTCCTTGTTTCTTCCTCTTGGTTTTTCTAATAGTAATCTAACCTCTCTGTAGTGGCAATGCGAAAGACCATTGTTATTTCGAGGAGTTTAGGTGACATGTTTTGATTTCTCCTGCACATGTTAAGAAAGTTCACTCTGAGTCATAATAATGTTTAGCTGGCTTATTTTTCACTTCTACTTAGAAGTGTGGGCGGGGTGGGGGAGGGAAACCCTCAGGATTGTTTAGGTTAAGCACTAGCTTATCTGTATAATGCTCAGACCCTGGGAAGTATCTGGTCAAGGTTGGGCCCCACAGCCCCGATGCCATCGAAACAGAGTCATGAGATTGCAGTCCCGGACTTTGACAAAACCCCTGGCATTGCCCCTCGAGTCTTGGAGGGTGGACACGGGCCTTGGGACCAGGAGCTGTGTTAACTAAGCCAACCCGGGGTCTCTCCACTGTCACCTTGTGGTAGCTCCTGACGGTAGGGGAAGAGTTTTAT